TCGTAGATCTCGTAGTTTCGCTGCGCCGGATCCATCGCATGGGACCAGAAGGCAACCGGATGCCATTTACCGTCGTCCTGCTTCTGCATCAACACGCCACCGGTGGCGTACCCTGAGGCATCGACTTCGATGCGCGTCTCCCGGTTAGGGTCGTATAGCGCCAAGACTGGAGTCGTTGCAAAGAGCCGCTTGAGCTCATCGAAGGCGTGTTGCTCCTCTTTGCCCCAATGCCATGGGTCGTTCCCTGTGAGCCGGTCGAGTGGTCGCGAGATCTTAGCGAAGTCTTTGATGAAGCAGCGGTAGAAGTTGGAAAACCCCCGGAACTTCTGAACATCTTTTTTGTTCCGGGGTACCGGCCACTCATTGATTCCTTTCAACTTCGCGGGATCCATCACTACCTCATCGCCACCGAACACATAGCCGACGTAGTCGACCTTGGGAACGTTCCACTCGCACTTCTCAGGCTTCAGGAATAGATCATTATCCTGTAGGCGTTGAAAGACCTCGCGCGTGACCTTATCATGCTCCTCCGGATTGGTGGAGAAGATGAGTATGTCATCCAGGTACACGAGGATCTTGCCGCCGATGATGAGATCATGGAAGATGTCATTCATCATCACCTGGAAGGTTGCGGGGGAGTTGGTGAGGCCAAAGAACATTACCAAGGGTTCGTACAGCCCTCGGTTAGTCACAAAGGCCGCCTTCCACTCGTCACCGGCTTTGATCCGGACGTTGTTGTATCCCCATCGGACATCGAACTTCGTAAAGAGTGTAGCGCCGCGGAGCTTATCCACCATCTCGGCAATCAGCGGCAAGGGGTAACGATTTTTGACCGTGATCGTGTTTAATCGGCGGTAGTCCTGCACGGGTCGAAGCGTCCCTTCCTTCTTTTTGATGAAGAAGAAGGGGGATGAAATGGGCGACTTCGATTCCCATATATAGCCTTTCGCCAGCTGCTCTTTTAGGAACTTATCGAGTTCCTCCTGCTCATTGTTCGACAAGGGATACACCTTCGAATGGAAGGTCGAGTAACCGGGTACGAGTTCGATCACGTGATCATACGGCTTTCTTTCCGGTAGCCGTTCTGATGCTTCCTTGGAGAAGACCTTCAGAAACTCGTGATACTGTTTCGGCACTGACTCCTCGGCGGTCTTAACGACCTTCTTCTTGATCTCTTCCTTAGCGAACAGTTGGGAGTACTTATGCCCAGCTGCGACAAACAGCTGAGGAGCGCCGGGAAGCGTAATGCCTTGCTCCCAGGCCTCGATCAAGTCGGCTTCGTCCCACTCGACCTCTACCGGATCTTCTTCGGGTTCGAAGTCCGGGAGTACCTTACTCCGGCAGGCGCCTATGACCGACCGTCTGGACTTCGGTGAACGCCTGCGCACCATGGGCCTGACCCCCGTATCACGCGCAGTCGCTGCTTGCTCCATCCGGCCAGTCCTCCTGGCACTGCACGCTTCAGGGCATCGGGATAACTTGAGGGAGCCTTCCTCCCAGTTGATTTTGGGGTTGTGCTCGCGTAGCCAATCCAACCCAACGATCACATCCTCTGGACCGATGTCCGTGACCGTAAACACTGTCTTTTCGACGTGTTCTCCTATGTGCATCTGTAGTACTGCTACTTCTGAGATGCTTCCGTCTTTATTCAGGGTGCCATCGATATTATAGAGCGGAATGGGCTCCTTCAGCCTCCGCGTCTGCACCTTATTCTCTACGATAAATCGCTTGTTGATAAACTTTGTGGTGGCTCCGCTGTCCACCATAGCGATTACGTCCTTGTGCCGTCTTTTCCCTTGGAGTCGGACTGGAATGTGAAAGTGCTGGGACCCCTGGTCCAACTCATACACCATTGCAGTCGACAATACATTATATCTATTACATGATGATACTCGCGGCCCGACGCGTGCGGCACGAAGCGCGGACCGGATCAAAAACCCTCCTCCTTCATCGCCCGATAGTGTTCGAGCTCCTCACGCATCGACTTCACCTGTGCCATCAAGTCCGCCAGCTCCGATGGCTCGGATTTCGCTGAAGCGGCACTTATTGTTGCCGAGGGTGATGTCGTGATGGGGGCGCTTGTTGTTACCTGGGTGGAGCCCGAGGCAACCGTAGCCCGCGCGTCGGCGCGTTTTGTGTAAGGTTTGTCCTTACAGTTGGGGCACTCGAAACGTCGGTACCCTTGCTTTCCACAGCCAAAGCAGCTGCCGGGGAAGTTTCCTTTTCCGACGGCCGCATTGATGCTGGCCGAAGCTCCGTGCAACTGGGGTGCACCACCACGTGCCCCACCACGTCCTCGACCTCGGGCCGAGAAGAAGTTGTTCAGCTCGGGCCGACGGGCCTGGTTGATGTCGAGGATCTGCTCGACCTCAGTGGCGCGCTTCTCAGCTTCTAGCCACGTGGTGAAAGTCTCGAGCTCGATCTTGCGATACACGCGGGAGGGGATGCCGCTCAGGTACTTGTCGCGTAGTTCCAGGTCCCCATACCCGGAGCGGTCCGCCGGACCCTTGAACAGCGTGGAGAACTCCGCAGCGGTGCATTTTTCACGGACCGACTTGTCCGCGCAGAGTTTCGCCAACTCTACTTGTGCCACCGCCTCGTCGTCGAGATTTCCGAAGCGGGCTTTGAAGGCGGTAGTGAAGGCCGCTTCGTTCCTGAAGGGGGTCGTGACCCCTTGGACGCCCATCTGTACCGATGCGAGCTGGGCAAAATAGGGAGTGGCCCAGGCGCGGGCATCACCGTCGAGCAGGCTCAACGCAACCTGCACCTTGAGCTCGATGGTCGTCAATGATGTGTTGATCAACCAGTAGATGTGGAGTTGCGACAGGAACCTGTCGCACTCAATGACGGTTTTCCCATCATATCGGAGGGGGAGGAGAAGCTTCAGAGTCTCCTTGTCGGGGGCGGTCGCGGGAGAAGACATTATCGGTGGCGGGGGGGACGCAGGATGGCGCGGGGGCGGAGGCGGCTGTGGTGGCCCTCCGCTGGTCGGACTACGAGGGGAGCAAGTGCGCGAGCGGCCTCGTGGCGGCGATGGCGGTGAAGGCGCTGGAGGAAGCCCGGAGGGGGGGTCACGTACGTCAGGGACTGCTGACGCGGGGGCGAGCGCTGTCGGCGAGGCAGACCGAGCAGAATCTGCGGACTCGGACTCCGAGACTCCTTCTTTACTCGCACTCTCCTCAGGCTCAGGCTCTGGCGCAGGGTCTGGAGGGAGATCTCCTCTCGCTTGACTTGGACCGGCGACAGTTTGGGGAAGGCGGGAGCTAGGGGAGACAGGGCGAGAGTGCCGTGAGGCAGATCGAGATGCAAGGGTGCTTTGAGGACCGAGCGGATGTTGCGCTCATCGGATCGCTTTGTAGCGTGGGTAATCTTGCTCGATCGATCGGGGTGTTCGGTTGGGGCACGGCTGCTGCTCGCAGGTGTAGATGACAGTCTCAGGGCCGTCTGGGATGTAGGTGTCGACGAGGTCCTGAGAGTCGAATGCGTGAACTTGGCCTTGACAGGCAGCCACGTTGGATGGGGGGAGGACGGGGAGGTGCGCGTACTACGAAAGGCCGTTGTAGACTAGCTTACACCTACGGCGCCCGAGATGACACTGAGATTCGCAGTTCACGTAGGGCCCAATACTGCTTTTGACTATTATGCAGCAGGAACCAAGGCTACGCGTCCGTGAGGACAAGTACCGCTCACTGAAGCGCAGGTACTGAAGAGTTCATCTCTCGAGTGTTGGCGATGTACCGTATGTTATCTACGTATTGTAAGGTACAGTAAGGGTGCGCACCACCCAACCTATAGGAAGTGAGAGAGTGAGTGTGGGTTCCGAGGAACGCCGGCAGCAGTGAGGAGTTTCGACCTAATGTCGCGACTTAGGGTCGAGCGACAGGGGAAACACAAACCAAGGATGCTGGGGGCGTTTGACTGGGTCTTACCGAAGCGATGGTGAGCAGAGCTCAAACCTAAGGCTAGGGACAAGATAATATATTAGTGAGGTAAGAAAAGGAATACAAAGGATGCTTACTGACCTAGGGACAAGAGGTCGAAACTGAGGTCCCTAGGGCAGCAGAGGCCGGCTTATATACAGGGGAAGATGAGGGCAGGCTGTGCGCACTGGTCCGTGCACAGCTGGTCCGTGCACAGCTGGTCCGTGCACAGCATGCTGACGCGGCCCCGGGGGCCGGTGAGTCAGAGCGGCTGTGTCAGCGGAGCCCGAGCTGTGCCGCGCACTGCCGCCCCATCTAATCTAATCGTACAGTAGATAAGGACTTGTTCATTCGAGCGTATAGTACAGAGGTTGCGGGTTCGAGCCCGTGAAAAGGAAAAATTAAAAAACAGACTAGACACCGT